AAAAAACAAAAAAAAAAAAAAAAAGACGATAAATTGATGGATAAAGGAAAATATAAGCAGATAGATATGTAAGAGGAATCATACAGTATTTTATGAGAACAGTCCTCTATTGTTGAACAGTCTACTTATCATTGTTTTGCTATTAGAGATACTTTTATGCAACATCTTACACATAGGTAATTTGTTCTTTAAATCATTACCTTCCAAAGAGTATTATTATTAAGGCAAAAGAAAGAGATACTTTGCACATCTTTCTAACTACAAGTTCTAGGTGAACTTTTTTTAAAGTGGTACCTTAAGCAAAGCATAAAGTTTTAAGAAACACTAGTAAGATAATCCAACTTGTAGCCAACAATTTCAAGTCTGGAAGATATTTATGAAACTAGTTCCTTTTCATCTATTACCAAATTAGACCCTTCTTAAATCCTGAGGCAGGACGTTTGGTTAAAAGTATATAATCAAGGACCTTGACAGACAATGAACAGTACAAAAAGACTCCGGCTCCAGGACTGAGCATTCTGACTCATTCTCTTATTCACCAATGGGCAAGTTGCGAGGACACCGTGTTTTTTACTAGGAACTACATTTGCACAGTGATGAGGAAATACAAAGACAAGCATGATCATGCTGAAAAATCAGAGACAAGGATGAGTCAGGCAACCTCTGTGTGGTTAAATGTGTGCTGTTGTACATACCAGCCAACTCAAAAGAAAGCATACAACGGCCATACACACTTTTCTGGTTTTGATACCAGAATACTTCATATTACATATCCTAATCCAAGTCCTATGTTAATTAATGACCTGGAAGCCTATTTCAAAATGTATTCAATTTAAAGTAAATACTACGGAATCTCAGAATTCAATGCTTTATTAAAAGCCTTTTTTAAAACAGAGCTCATCTGAACTTTTCTTTCAAAAGAGACCTCATCAGAATATACTGATCCTTTAACAAAAATACCATATTTCCCTACGTATAAGACGCACCCAGTTTTTAGACCCCAAGTTTTTCGAAAAAGGATGCGTCTTATACATGGGGAAATATGGTATGTCACTACTAGGCATTGAACCAAGGAGCTATCATCACTCTAAATTGATACTATTTATAAAGCTCTGACTGGTGTCCTCTGAACAAAAGAAAACCAGAGTTAAGGATCTTATCTGTAGAAGAGAAAGTCTTACATAAACTCTAGTCAACAATAAAAGACTGGGTCATTTTGATATGGCCATCTTAAAAAGGCATTAGAAATAGTTTTGAGAATCTGTATCAACAATGGAAATTGAACGTTATGTTTCTAATTGTGGATAAGTTGATTCCATTATTAATACTGTCTCTAAGCCATATTTAAACAACTATGGGATCCAAAATGGGATAGAAAGGATTCTTAACTGTGCTGCTGGAAGGAATTATAGTTACTCTTACGGTAATATTTTAAAAAGTCATAAGGGTTTTCTTTAAAAATTGTTTCATTTCATTCTATAAACGCAACTGTAAACTCATTCTCTTAATGGACATACAGGCATGAATTAACATTATTCTTTTCAGTCATCATTTGGCTAGCTTGGACTCATCTTTTAAATCCCTGCTAAAAAAATCTCTGTATCTAGAAAAACTTCCTTATGTTCTAATATCAGTACAAAAATCCCTATTATCTGATCCAACAGGCAGTATCATGTACTTTGCCTATCATTCTAGGTTACACACTTTGTGGGGTTTTGTTATTATTGTTCTTGTTTAGTCTTCCGCACTAGACTGTAAACTCCATAAGGGTAATGACTATCTGTCATTTCAAAATTGTGTCAATATTTAACACCTGATCTATAAGTAATAAAAATTGTGGAAAAACGAACTAGAAATTTTAAACTTTTCCATCCAAGGGATTGTACCAATTTCCTATCTTTAAAACAGCTATTCCAGGACAACTGGATGACTAGCATTCTACCAACTAATAGTCAACTGAGAACTACTTTTAACTACTTAGCCTATACATAATGGAGAAGACTAGATTTAACAAAGCTTTAATGCTATGGACATGAACATGAAGTATGGTAAACTGACTACAAGGTGTTATGTTTTTATACCATGGAAAGTTTTTGTTTTGTCTGTTTTCCACAAATGAGGTAAAAACAAAATTTTTCAATATAAGTCAGTTCAAGGTACGGTTCTTATAACTATTGGGTTGTTGGAAAAGTCATGACGTATTTTTTCTATGTTTTTCGTTGCAAAAATGACTTTTCCGACAACCCAATACAACATAATTACAGGATTGTTTTACTGTTTGTCTTCTAGCATATCTGGGTACACATAAAACTCTAAAACAGGATAAAAAGTAACAACTGTGAGAAACAGAAGTGATTTGGGAGACAAGCCTATTTTATGTGTGGCTAATCCTACATAAGTACATTATTACACAGATAAATATAACTATCATCTGTGTTACTTACAATGCAGTACGCTGAGGAATAACAAAATTTGTGAAACAATATGTTAAAATAGTCAACTTTGGAAAAGTATGCAAAAGTAAACAACTTCAGGAATGGATCCAGAGGGGAAAGGGGATCAAATACATGGTGATGGAAGGAGAACCGACTCTGGGTGGTGAACACACAATGCAATATACAGATGATTATAGAAATGTACACTTGAAACCGATATAATTTTACTAACCAATGTCACCCCAATAAATGTAATAAAAAAAGAAAAAGAATGGATCCAGTGATCTAATAAATGATTTCCTGTATTTCACATATTGCTGATCATGACCCACAAACAGCACTTGTAAAAAATGAAATGGAATAGGATATAAATATCAGACTACAACATCTGTAGTAAGGGAAAGTATTGTTTTCTGAAACTTTTGATTCAGTGTGTGTGTGTGTGTGACAACGTAAAAATGTTTCTAAATATGGGTTAATTACAGGCTATAATTAAAAAAGAAATGCTACTTTTGGAGTATATGCCCCAAGTAGAAACTCTCCATCACAATTATAAAAATGAAAAGTGACATTAACCCAGGTATAAGTTATAATAGTTTAAGCTTGATTTCACAAGCTCTACAGTCAAAGTTTTGAGTTCAAATACAGGTTCCACTACTTCCTATGTGAATTTGGACTTATTTTAAGAGCATGTACTTCACTTTTGTCACCTGTAATATGAGGCTAATAATATCTTCCAAGTTGTGGTAAAAATAAATAATACAGTAAGTTCTTATATGTTTTAACAACTTGAAGGCACGATATATATTAGAAACATACCAAGAAACTTAACAGAAGGTAACGTCACTTGTTTGTGATGTTTGTGTGTGGGTGGTGCTTTTTCATTTTGTATATTTTTGTCCTATAGGAATTTTATAATGTATACATAACATGTACGTTTCTAATATAATGTTTCTGATGTATATAACATTATAACCTTTATTTAAAAAAAACATCAACAGTAGCTATCTGAGCAGTGAGATCATGTCTTTTGTTTTTGTTTCCTATTTCTGCATTTTATAAAAATATATTAGGTGTTTTCAAAAGAAAATAGTCAACTACTCACTTAAAAAAAAAAGTCAAAGAGGAAACTGTGTGGTCCAGGGTTTAGAAATTAGCGCTTTTTTGGGGAAAACTTATGTGCCAAATGCTTCTCACTAAATCCTCACACAACCTAGTATAATAATATCACTTTTGTCATGAGAAAACTGAGGCGACTGAGATGAGGTAAATTGTCTGTTAAACAACTAACAAATGGCAGTGTCCTGAACTTCAAAGCCTATATTTCTTCTATCCAATTATGCATCCAAATATTCTTCTCCAGTTGTTTCTCTCTTTTTTTAATTTTTAAAATTAAATTTATTGGGGTAACAATGGTTAGTAAAATTATACAGGTTTCAAGTGTATGAATTCTATAATACACCATCTATATATCACATTGTGTGGTCACCACCCAGAGTCAGTTCTCCTTCCATCATCATATATTTGACCCCGTTTACCCTCATCTACCACCCATACAGGCATATTTTGATCTACCCAGTTAAGACTGTAAACTTGAGAAAAGGGAAAACTCACCAACTTCACTTGTCTTTCACTGGCTTACGGACTACTATAGATCCTTAAACACTTGAGTTACATCCAACTTCTTTTGGTCTAGCTGTCCTCATGGGACATACCCTTGTCATAAAAACGAAATAAACTAGCAAACAAACGACAAAACTACTCTAAGGCTGCCCAAATCCAACTTCATTCCTACACACTTGGAACTGAAAAAGTTTAAGTATACCTATATCCCGAGACTACACTAAGGGGACTTGGGAATGGGTACAAGTATCACGGATGGATCCCCACATTGCCCTACCACGCCCCCCATCACCCAGGCACTATCTAAAGAAAGGAACCTCTATGTAGTAGTCTTCCGGTGAGGTGCTAAAGAACTATAACCACGCCCACATTTTGTTCCAACACAATAACTTGTTTTCTTTCCCTGCCGGGACCCCCGTCCCAACGCCTAAACCCTTAATAAACAATTCAAAAGTCTCTGACCTGCAGCGAAGTGCAGGGGAGAAGACTTCCGGCCGGCCATGTCCTTAGCATTCACGTTTGCTGCGTCCACCAGCCTCTTTACCCGGGACACGTCCCCATTGCGACAGGCTTCCAACAGTTCCCGTAGGGCCCCGCTCACTGCTGGAACCCCTTGCCCAGGTCCCGCCGCCCCAGGCCCCAGTGTTGCTGTGGTGCTAACTCCGGCCGCCTCCGGGCTCTCCGCCAAGCTCGATCCAGGGGAGGATGGAGAGGAAGATGAGGAAGAAGTCGGGGAAGAAGAGGACGATGGTGAATTGTTACTGCTACCGCCGGCTGGACTGGGAGCGACTCCAGCGGCAGACGAAGCAGAAACCGCCGGGACCACGGGAGCGGCGGCGACAGTACAGATTGTGCTGGTGGTATTGCAACAGCTGGTACTGTCAACCGGGTCCGGGGATCGGGGCCTGTCGGGCGGATCCCGACTGCCATCCCCCTCCGGCAGCGCTAGGCCGTGCCGCGGGGAGGCGAAGGGGACCAGGCCACCCGCCGTGGGGGAGGCTGGGGTGGTCCCGGGGGCCAAGCCGGGGCTGAGTGGGGGGGGAGGTGGCGGCGGCGGCGCCGAAGCCCCTGGGGCGGGCTGGAGCTGTTGTTGATGATGGTGGTGATGATGTTGAGAGCGACGCGACGCCGCCATCTTCGGACTCCCCCAGCACTGTCACTGCGGCAACGGCCCCACCGCCCGCCCTCACTTCCGACTGCTGGACCAATTAACATCCAGCGCACAGGAAATGATGCTAGGCGGAGTGGGAGGGGTCAAAGAGAAGGAGGGAAGCATTGGGAACTCCGAGAACAGCTACGGAAGGGGGCGTGGCCTTGTGACTGAGGGGCGGGCCTTGTGACGCCTTGGCGGGCCCGCCCGGGAGATTTGAAAGCTGGAACCAGCCTGTGCCTAAATGGGAAACTTGTCCTGCATTTCTCTCTTTCAGTTTGCTTACCTAGCCCTGCTCAGTTCTGTTACTAATCTCCTACAGTCTTCCTTATCTTGCCCCAGAGCCTGCTATTCAGGTGTAACTCAGTGCAAGAAGAGAATGTGTCGTATTTCATCTGACAAGTGTCCTCGTCTGAAAAATGGAATAGTATCTACCTCTCAGAATTATTAGTGGGATTAAATGAGCTAACATATACAAAGTGCTCTGTCAGTTAATAAAACGTAACTATAATTATCCCATTGGTAATTTTTTTGTGTGAAGTCTTCTCCCTGTGTCCTTCCCCAGTTATTCCCTTGGTCTCTATATCCCTTCTCTATAAGTTTTCTGACTCTATGTACTTTGTTAATACTCCATTTTAAAATGTGGTTCAGATTTCCAGGACTGGAATTCAAGCGCTACCATTTACTAGTTGTGTAAATTTGGGCAAGCTGTTGAACCACTCTATCTCAGGTTCTGCTCTGCAAAATCAAATTAATAGTTCAAAAAATACTAACTATTAAAATTATGATTTTTCTATTATCTCTGTATTTTTATTTCTCACCTTAAGCTCAACTCAAATAATTGTGAATATATTCCTTTCTTTTTAATTCTTTTAGGCTGGACCTCTGCTCACCTCCATTGCTTTCACCCTTCTTACCTTCCCCTCCCAAACTAAGATAAAAACCTGACTTATCTATCATTCATCTTCAGATGCCACTCGAAAGCAACTACTTTTTCTCTTTCCTTTGCCTATACCTACTTCCTTTTGTCTGCCATCAAAATAGATGTACAATGCATGGGATAATCTCACTAAGGTCTTCATTTCCTGCCTTCTATCCAGTCATAAACTAGGCCTGTAGAACTTTAGACAAACTATTCCAATAGAGTGGACATCGATAGAGATTCCGTGTTTCAAGAAAAAAAACAAAAACAAGATTTAGATGGGTCAAGTAGAAGTTTAGCATTGCAGAATATTAATCCACGTGATAAATTGTTGTTTTATGGTGCTATTAAATATAATTAGCGTGATGTTACTACTCCAATCTAATTAAAAAGGTAAGTTTACTTAGGACTACCATTGACATACAACAATGTCAGGAACATAATATTATGAGTGACATTTATTGTCATCTAATCTAGGGTTACAGATTATAACTCTAAAATTATCCATCTGTTTCACAAATGTGTGTCACTTCATAAATTGACAAATGCGTGACTGGATAGGAAAACTCCATCAGTGCAACTAAAATCTGTCCACAACACACATTCTCCTGGTTTTCAATCTTAATGCACAGCACAGGATAGCATTGAGAAATAGGAGTGAATCAATGTAATACATTAGACATCCATAATTCACCTGGTCCCCTGTTGGCCAATTACTCATAGATCACAATAAAAAGTAGTAATGTTCACCCTAATTTAAAATGCATCTAGAATGTCTGTTTATCAGTATAAAGTAAATAAGAAAATTTCTGCTGAATTGCCTGAAACAACTCTCCTGGTAAACCCTGTCTGAAAACGCATTCGATCAATTGGAAATTGCTTTTTTCCCCTCCAGTGGAAAGTAAGTAAAAGTACTTAACATTAAGTATTTATAAGGTTTAGTTTTATAAGAACTAATATTGAACTCTAAACACAAAATGGCATATATCATTACCTAATCTTTTACAGCTAAACACAATTCCATGAGGAATGAACTATACCCCAGTGAGGAAAGCAAAGTAGAATCAGGCAAACCTGGGTTGGAATCTCATCTCTGAAGACTACTATTGGGTTGTCGGAAAAGCCATGACGCATTTTTGCAATGAAAAACAAAAAATACGTCATGACTTTTCCTACAACCCAATAGTTGGCTAATCTTGGTAGATATGCTTCAGCTTTGTCGTTCTAAAATTCTGATTTTATTGTAGCATTGTCATGAGGATTGAAAGACCTAGGTATTTTGTAAATACTCCCTGAGTGTTAGTTTCATTCTCTTATGTGGCATACATAAATTCTTAATAGGAACTCATAGCCACTATTGATAGCTATCTCCTCACAACTTCCTTTATGAAAAAGATAGTGACTCGGAATAAATTTCCATCATTTTACATGTAACAGGAATCTTAAGCAAAGGAAGATCAGGTTTAGTTGTCTCATCTGAAAATTCAAAAATCAAAATACAAGCTAATATCTCTAAGATTTGTTGTTGAGGATCATAGTTGTATAGTATCTTACCATTTTCAAAAATGTTTTCAGAAAAATCACTTTCAAGTGCTATAAAAATGTGAGCACATAGTTCTCTCTTAAATCGTGTTGAAGCAAAAGAAAGCCACAAACTCAAAGGGTGCTCACCTTCTGGACTGTGTTGTGATATTTATTTTTCCCCCATGGGGATCATATGGACTCACTTTCTAAGTTATATAGTCACAAACTTGTGCAGTTTCCATGTTTCAGTTAGACTTGTTATGTATATTTCATTCATATACTTCTCATTGATCTGCCGCAGATCCAAGTTCACTGGTAGTATCTCAGATCTATTAAGTCGGCCAAGCCATGATGAATGTTGAACCCTACGACTGACTGAGGGGTTGTGTACTACCACATACTGACCATAGGGAAACTCAACCCTGGTGAAGATTGGAGCAAGGACCTCTGCGAGCAGAGACCACCAGACTTACTGGCTGGGAAGAAGTGGCAGCCAAGCAGTGTGAAGTACTAGTCAATACCTGAACACATAGTGCGTGCCCTCCACCCGCTGTCTTCTCTTGCTTGCTTGCAGTTGTTTGGCTTGTTGAAGGAAATAAAAGAGTGAAATCTGAGTTAAGAGGTGTTTGTGTGCAATGTCTCTTGGTTTTGCCTATTCCTTCATATCTTGTCTTTGTTTTGATGTTGTTGCTCAGAAAACACATTGAGTAATCCTGATGTCATTGAAACTTTCTGTAAACCCATCTGCGAGGTGGGGATATTAAGAGTTGTGATGAGACATAAATGAGTTAACATATGCCAAGTGCTTAGAACAGCTTCTGGCATGTGATAAATGCTATGTAACTGTCAGCTGTTACTATTATTGAGAGCTGGGGAAGGCCTCTGGTATGGGATGTTAATAGGTTACCTGGGAGACATGACTAGTTTTGTCTGCCTGCCCAATAATAAGAAGGTTTGTTTTCACCCAATAATGTTGAAATCCAGCCTCTCCAACCTACTTCTTTTGCTTTACAGTGACATAAAGGAATGTCTATTAAGCTTGGAAACTGAAAGGGCCTCTTATATTTGGTGAAATGCAAATTATCCCTTCTGGCTGTAGAAGGGTGTGGGGGAGGTGGAGACTCTGCAAAGGAGGACACCTAAGCCTGGAAGTATGCAGGTTTCTCCCTCTAAAGATTCTGCGATACTACAGTGTTGAGAAACCACTGGCTTTTGTGTGGGAGACCACCACAGCTGCCAAGATCATCTCAAGAGAAACCAACTTGGTCATAGTTCCTGAGGTCCCTGAGACCCAGGATGTTTGCAGACAAAATTTCACACAGAAGATGAGCTTACCACCATAAATCACCAATATGTAAGAAAGGCCAAACACATGGAAGAAAAAAAGCAAATCCAACAAATGAAAGGCCCTATGTCAGAGGAAATGTAATAGAGCAATCCAAAATTTCTTTTTATATCCATATTTGGAGCTTGTGGTAGGCCAAATAATGGCACCCCAAAGATATCCATGTCCTAATCCCAGGACTCTGTGACTATGTTACTTTCCATGGCAAAATGGATTTAAGGTTGTGGATAGAATTAAGGTTGCTAATCAACTGACCTTAAAACAGGGAGATTTAACTGGGTTATGTGGTTGGGTCTAATGTAATCACAGGTGTTCCTAAAAGTAAAAAAATGGAGGCAGAAAAGGCGATTTCACTGACACCATGTGAGAAGGACCCAGCCATTGCTGGCTTTGAAGATGAAGGAAGGGAGCCACAAGCCAAAGCAGGGGCAGCATCTAGAAGGTGAAAAAAAGGAAGGAAATGGATTTTCCCTCCGAGCCCTGGAAAGGAATGCAGCCCTGCCAACACCTTGGTTTGAGGCCAATGAGACCCATGCCAGATTTATGATGGCAAAACTGTAAAATATTAAATTCGTGTTGTTTTCAAGCTATGAAATTTATGATGTTACAGCAGCAATGGAAAATTAATACAGGACTTCTTTAGAAAATGAGATGGCATGAAGTCCTGCCCTCGCTCCCCAGCCTATTTTTCCACATGGTAATAGACTAAAGTTACACAGTTGTTGCCACTTGGAATTGCCACCATTCCTTTTGTTAATTTACATCTGTCTGGCTTCTTTCAGTTAAGGACCTGGCCCCTATAGGCAGAGGAGTATTTTCTATGTGCCAGGTGCCATACCATGTAGAGATTACCAAAATGAATTAAACCTGGTCCTAAATGTTGAGTGTTTGCGGTCTAATGGGGAAGACAGATTCATAAACAGATAATGTCAACACAATGTTGTGAGTGCTCCAAGGGCAATGCATGCAGGGTGCTCTGAGACCATAAAGCAGTGGATAGCCCATCTGTGGGTAAGCATTCAAGGAGGCAATGACCCAATGTCTCAAACAATAAGATCCTAGCTTCAAATAGCAGCAGTATCACTATCACAATACATTCGATGGGAAAAATAAAAGCATATTTTTATGCTGATAAGAATGTAGTAGAAAGAGGGAAATTCATGATGCAGGAGAGAGGAGTATTGCTGGGGTGATGTGTCCTTAGGCAGGTGACAGGGTTGCATCTAAAGGAAAATCACTGACAGTTCATGCTTAGTATCAAGGAGTAAGGCAGGGTATATGGGCATGGATGCAATAAATGACTATATATGGTGGTGCAAGAATGAGAAAGACTCGATTACTTCTTTCTCAGTGAAATAGAAAACAAAGGAGACTCCTTCATTGTTTCTCCCTGCATCTCCTTGGCTCAAATTGGGGGCACGTGCTCGTTTCTAAATTAATTGCTGTTGCCAAGAGAACTCCATGCACTGATTGACTTGGACTTGTATTTCCGAATCAACCAACTCTAAGGGAGTTGGACATGAACTAATCATGACCTACTCCAGGGAAGAGGAAGAATGCATTCTGGGGAGTCATAAATATGTCCTCCTCACTTTCCACCATCGCAGTTCACAGCACAGGCTGACCTCAAGCCCTAAGCAGAGTATATTAGTTTCCTATCGCTCCTATTAAAAATTACCACAAACTTAATTGCTTAAAGCAACACAAATTTATTCTCTTACCATTCTGGGATGATACGTTTACAATCAGTTTCATTGGGATAAAGTCAAGGTGTCAATAGTGCTGGTTTCTTCTGGGGTCTCTGAGGAGAGTATCTATTTACTTGACTTTTTCAGCTTCTAGCAGCTGCCTATAATCCTTGACTTGTGACCGCTTCCTCCATCTTCAAAGCACATCACTCCAGTCTCTGCTGGATCATCACAGCACCTTTTGTCTGGCTATGACTCCTCTTGCTTCACTCTTAAAAGGGCCATTGTCATTACATCAGACCCACCCAGATAATCCAAGATCAATTTCCCCATCTCAAAATCCTTAATTTAACCACATCTACAAAGTCCCTTTTGCCATATAAGGTAACATTCATTGGTTCTGGATCTAGGATGTATTGGGTTGTCGGAAAAGTCATGGTGCATTTTTGCAACGAGAAACAGAAAGAACACGTGATGACTTTTCCGAGAACCCAATAGAAATATTGGGGGGGGGCATTATTCAGCCTATTACAATGAGAATGCCCAATTGCCCCTGGTATAAAGAGGAGAGAGAGGCCTGCCCTATTGGGCACACATGGATTAGTTTACCACATGGAAAGAGAAGGACAAGACAAAGCATCGTATTCAGTCAGAGAACTGTAATGGGGTTAGCACTGTCCTACTTCAGGGGTCTATCAGCTTCCTGGCCTCATGTGATAATTTAGTCTCAGAGATCTTGATTGCCCTTCTCTTCCATAAGATATCATGCTGGCCCATCACATTGATGAGAGTATGCTGATTGGACCTAAGATATTTGGACCTAATAAGATAATCTGCATGTGAGAGGTTGGGAAATAAATCTGACAAAAATTCAGGGGCCCTCTGCCTCAGTGAAATTTCTAGGGGCCCAGTGATATGAGGTATGTCAAAATATCCCTTCTAAGGTGAAGGATAAGTTGTTACATCTGGCCGTTTCTATAATCAAAAAAGAGGCACAATGCCTAGTCCTTTTGGATTTTGGAGGGGACATATCTTCAGCGTGTGTGACTCTAGCCTGTTTATGGAATGACCCAAAAAGCTGCTGGTTTTGAATTGGGTCCAGAACAAGAGAAGGCTCTGCAGCAGGTCCAGGATGCTGTGCAAGCTGCTCTGCCACTTGGGCCATCTGATCCAGCAGATCGATGGTGCTTGAAGTGTCAGTGGCAGATAGGCATGCTGTTGGGATCCTTTGGCAGGCCCCTACATGTGAATCACAGCACAGACTCTTACGATTTCAGAGCAAAGTCCTGCCATCCTTTGTGGACATTTATTCTCCTTTTGAGAAACTTGCTTACTACTAGGTGTTAGTAGAGACTGAATGCTTACATGTGGTTCACCAAGTTACTTGAATTGCTCATCATGAACTGGGTGAAGCCATAAAGTTGGGTGTACACAGCACATTCCAACATCAAATGGAAGTGGTATATATGAGATCAGTCTTGAGTGGGCCCTGAAGGCACAAGTAAGTTACACAAGGAAATGGCCCAACTGCCCATGGCTCCCACTCCGACTATATTGTTCTCTCCTAGCCTGCATTTATGGCCACATGGGGAGATCCCTAAAATGAGTTGGCTGAGAAAGAGAGAATTTGTGCTGAATTTACAGATGGTTCTGCACAATATGCAGGCACCACTTGAAAGCACACAGCTGCAGCATTACAGCCCCTCTCTGGGACATCCCTGAAGGACAGTGGTGGAGGGAAATCCTCCCATTAAGCAGAACTTTGAGCTATGCACCAGGATGTTCATTTTGCTTGGAAGGAAAAATAGCCAGATGTGCAAGTATATACCACTTCATGGGCTGTGGCCAACAGTTTGGCTGGATAGTTAGGTAGTTGGAAGGACTGTGGTTGGAAAATTAGTGATAAAGAAGTCTTGAGAAGTGGTATATATAATAGATAGAGCTCTCTAAAATGTGTGGGGAAAAAACCCAAAAAACATGAAGGTACTTGTGTCCCATGTGAATACTCAACAGTGTTCTCAGTAGAGGAGAATTTTAATAATCAAGTGGATAAGATGATGTATTCTGTGGACCAGCCAGCCTTTTCTTCCAACCATTCCTTTCATCATCCAATGGGCTCATTGATGAACAAACTCATGAACAAAGTGGCCATGGTGGCATGGAAGGAGGTATGCCTGGGCTCAGTAACATGGACATCTATTCACCAATGCTGACTTTGCTATAGTCTCTCTGAGTGCCCTCTCTGTCAATATGTGACACCAAAGTGATGTCTTCAAAATGGCACCATTCTCTGGTGTGATGAGCCAGCTACCTGGTGGTAGGTTGATTATAATGGACCACTTCCATCATGGAATGGGCAGTGTTTTGTTCTTACTAGAATAGACACTCTAAATATGAATTTGCCTTTCCTGTAGGTAATGCTTCTGCCAAAACTACCATCTGTAGACTTACAGAGTAGAATGCCTTACCTTCTATCATGACATAAGCATTGTAATAAGAATTGCTTCTGGTCATGGAACTCATTTCATAGCAAATGAAGTGTGGTAATGGGCCCATGTTCATG